TTGCTTCAGCATAAAACTAAAATTTCTGCCCATCACTCTTAGGATATGATTCTGGGGAGAAGAAGCGCATTCCTGCCTGGTGTGATAGAATACTATATAGAGACATCGGTCGGCTCCAACGTCCGAGTGCAGTTTAGAGTGCCCGGTGGTCACATCCATTTTACAGTAGGTGTCATGCGTGGCTTTTTTCTTGTTAGGTTCTTTTTTTTTTTTCTTTCTAGTTTTGTTTAAACTTTCTTCTATATGAAAGGTATGAGGCTTGCATGGATGTCACAGAAAGTGACCACAAACCTGTCCGTTGCAAATTCCATGTTGAAATTGCCCACGTTGATAGATCAGTGAGGAGACAAGAGTTTGGGAAAATTTTTCTGTCCAATGATAAAATCAGGGGGTTGCGTGAAGAGCTACATTATGTTCCAGAAACAGCTATTAGTACCAACAATATAGTCCTTCAAAACCAAGACACATGCAGCCTAAAAATAACCAACAAAAATGGGAATGACAAAGTCATATTTCAAATTGTTTGTGAAGGTCAGTCCACCATCAATGAGGATGAGCAAGCACGGATTACCGTCCGAGAGGTGCCTTTGGATTTCCCCGTTGGATTGAGGTAATGGTTGATGCTATTATTTTAAGTGCAAATACTATATTTTTTTTTGCTTTGGATTTCCCTGTTGTCTTTAGTTGATGCTGTTAGTACTTAAATTTCAAAACTTGGTTTTCATGCTTATGCTGATAGATTGGCTTTCCAAACATAGCATACGGATGCCATATCTTCAAAAGAATTTTCACTCTTCTTCCATTTAACTTTGGCAGAGCATAACAATGGCTGACCAGACTACCATCTCTTTTTGAGGTGCTCTGTTAGGTCATCCAATAAAAAAATCAATTGGCAATGAATGAAGAGGCTTCTTTACCATATAATCATTCAATATAGGATATAAGCTTTCTTTACATTGCCTCCCATGGGATGCGGGCTCACTCATGAGGCTAATAAACAAACAAACATACATGAATACCAAAAATTCAAATGAGGAAGAGATTTGACCAAAACCACGTAAGATCTAGCTCTGATACCATGTTGAAGTATCTAATTCAAAATCAATTGGCCTTACATCTTTCAACAGCACCCATCAACCTTATTTTAGTCTTATATACCCACTGACATCCGACCACCAATGACTAATGAGCCTAATAACGGCGAGAGCCACCTCTCCCCAAAAGAGCTGGGAATAGGTGCAGATAAAAGCAATGAACAAACAATCTCTATGATGTGTATGTTGCTTTGCTCAGCCATCTTATTTTGACTGGGAGTGTTTGCTCAAGAGGGTTTCTGAATTGTTTAATTAGATTTCAGTTAGTCAAGAGAATTATTTTATTCATATTCCCCATCTAAATCAACACCGAAAACATTCAATAAGAGAAGAACATCATGTGAATCATAGCACAAAAAAGTAGCAAAAATGGATCAAAATTCGGTTCGCTGTATCCTGAGATATGTTCTGCCATTGAAAACCCCTTCTTTTGATAAACTAGAACAGATACAAAAGCCTCGAGTATAAAAACCTCATAAAATCCTCCTTCTAGTTATGCTACTTAAACTCGGTCTCTAGTATCTATGTTTACTCAATAGTTGAGGAAAAATCTACGAACCTGAGAAGGTGTCGGTCAAGTTCGACCATTCTCTGCCTCTCTCATAGTGTTAAGTCTATCTCTATTTTCTAAACTTAACACTAATGAAATAGATAGGAAAGTAATAAATCCAATCCTAACTGTGTTCAATCTTTAACCAAAGCTTAAACATGCACGTTCATGTAAATTGGCTGTTTTGTGCCAAAACGGACTTATAATGCAACTCGGTGCCAGTTTGGCTGGCCAACAAGATGGGTTGACAATCAGAAGCTATATTGTCTTATTCGAATTGATGTGAGACATCAATTACTCTACGCAGCTTACAAAATTGCTTTTCTTTTTTTGCTTTTTTTTATTCAGTTATTTGTTAGATGTTCCAAGCCATAGTCATCTGTCTTCAGGTAGACATACACAGCTAGACAATGACTTGCCAAATGGTCAGCTTATTTGTGAGAAGTGCAATATTCAAGAGATAGTCAACAAAGTCAGAGCTATACCTTGGAATTATTAAGCTCTTTGAGAAAGATTGGTGATTTCATCCTAAATCGTCTTTAGATCCAATTCATACAATCAAACAGACACCCTATCTTTTTGGACCAAAGCATAATGTCAAATAGAAGCCCTTTGAAAAGCTTTATGAATGCTGATAACCATGACCTGGCCCGGGTTAGAAAATTGCTATGAGAACTTTTTTAGGAAAACACGTATCCCATCAAAACAATATCGAAGTTCTACGAGATATAGCCATTCGCGTAAGTTTTATGTGGTATCATCATGCAGCCACATTATTCTTGATGGTTTTTGACAATGCTGGCTGTTCAGCAGGGCAGTTCCAATGATAGTCTTTATAACTTAATTCTTGTGTTTTTGTGGTTCAGGTCACACCAGCTGCTGGCATAATCAAACCTGATCAAGTTGCAGAAGTCTTAGTACATCATGAGGATTTTCGTACCTTGGAAGAGTTTGTGGATGGGATTCCACAAAGCTGGTGGTCTGAAGACACCCGAGACAAGGAAGTGGTTTTGTTAGTTAATGTAAGAGGCAGCTGTTCAACTCAGACAAGAACTCATCGAGTTCATGTGCGTCACTGCTTTGCCACTAAGACGGTCCGAATCGACTCTAAAAGTAGTAGTTCCCGAAAACACCAAGGAAGTTCCCATCAACGGCCTGCGCTTCGACACATGGGCAGTGCCTCTGATATGGCTGATGACCATCGAGATTTACATGGTCTTTGAAGATACATCAAAGGACTGCAATTATAGGACATTCAGAAATGAGTACATCACCCGAGAGAGTTTTAAAGGAAGATGTTCTCATGCAAAGCCACACATTTTCCTCTTTCAGATAGATTTAGGATTTCATTTGTAAATTCATGGACATACATCTCCATTTCATGCTTTTTGGTGCAGATTCCAATTTTTTTTTATCATGATATCTTATGATTAGAACTAGGCCCAAATTTTATTATGTTAATTAATTCTTCAGTGAAAAGCATTCTGCTAAAATCCCTTTGTAATTCATTGACAAACTGTTTGTTCAATAATTTAGTGAGGAAATATATAAGTAGTAGAAGTTGAGAAGTTAATTAATTGATATAGGACATTGATCTCAATACCACGGATGTTGGATGATGGAGCCAATTGGGTTCTGCTTTTGCTATTGAAGTTGTAGAAATAAGCTGTAAATTTAGCAACAAATTACTTTGAAATTTACTGCTGCATCATGTATTTAGTGTTCATATTACATTTACATGCATTGCAATAAATTGATGCAGACATGGATACGGAGAAGATGAGATGAAATGAATTCCGGCGATGCCGTTGGTGTTAGATTTCAAATGGGCTTGTTGTACTTTTCAGCAACTATTCTCCGTGAATTTGGCCTGTTGCCGTCAGTGTGGAAGCCCCAGAATTTACTGGTTCTGCGGCCCAATTCATCTGCTCCTCCTAGACACTCTGGCCATTTAATTATACCATGATCAATTAATTTCTCACTACCGAAAGGCTTGGGGGCAATTACAGTGAAAATGGCAAGGTCTGAAACCAACGTCTATTGCAACACTCAACAAGTTTGATCATATTACTCCAACAAGATTAACTATCACTAATACATATAACATTCACCTATATTGTAGTGGCTAAAGATTGTGAATGCAGTGCTATAAAGTACAGATCATAAAAAAAATAAAAAGAAAACTAGAACCAGACAAGGGTCTGAATGCCGTGACCATTAATTTGATTACAATTCCTTAGTCCACCCTGAAAATGTGAGTCCTTGGTGCTCCAATCATTCAGGAATGTCAATCTGGAACATGAACTGAGAATTCACATTACCTTAAAGAAAAAATGCTGAAATAAGTAAATACCGGAAATCTAGTTGCCCTAGATGTTTCCATGTTGAAACAAAAATGACTCTTCGATATCTCCTACTCGATGCCATTGAATAATGACAAAAATGTTAACAAAATATAGCATGAATCTCACATAAAAAAAAATAATGATAAAAGAAAATCATTCTTGTCAACATGCTGCACAAAGAGATGGACTATGCATAGACACCTCTAGTGTAAGCTTCAGTCGTTGCCAAGCACCTTGTCCCTTGGGTTGCAATCTGATGGTAAGTTGTTGCAAACAATGTACTTGGTTGAATCTTGGATTTGACCTCCTGATAACATTAATAGCATTCAAGAGGTGAAAATAACTAAGGTAATCATCATACATTCACCATTCGAATTTCTGAACCAGGTACACCTGGCTATATAAGACTTGGAAGTTTACTTGAGCTAACTACTGGAGCATATAGATATTATTGCAGAAGCATTCAATTTTACCTTTTCACTAGCTACTACTGAATGCATTTACCCTAAACCGCATACATCCTCTTATGTTTTTCATTACATATCTCTGTATCCGAGGCCATAGACTTCGGGAAAGAACGAGAAAGGGTCTTAGCTCTCCTTATGTTGTGCAACTTCGACTCCAACCTATGATGAATGACCCACCAATTACAGTTGCACACACAGCAAGCAACCTTTCCTCAGGGCCAACCACCACATAGGAATGAAGAGGCAAGCCAACCACATCAGCTTGTTTATTGCAAACACGAGTTGCTTCTTTGCCTTCTGTTCTGATGATGCACAAATTGGTTTGTACACTACCTGTCAAGTAAGTAGTATAAAATACAGTAAAATAAGTTGAGGGAGAGAGAAGACAAGGTTTATAGTGGTTCGGTCAACGTGACCTACATCCACTTTGAATGACAAAGATCGCTGGTATTTTATTAACTTCGATGTGTAAGGAGAACAAAGAGTTACAAGTTTTGAGAGGAGGAGGAGAGAATTATACTCCAATGAGCCTGTTGCCCCCCAACTGTTGGTGGGGCTTACAATTTATAGTCGCTCATTATAGTAATTGAATAGCTAGTCTGACAGTCATAACAGATTGAAGTGACTTTATGGTAATTAAGTAGCTGATCCGGCAGAGACGCATCTCTTCTCAACGGGCAAGACAATTATGGTGCTTGAGCTCATCAGTTTCCAAGGCGGCGAGGGGTGAGGCTCTTGAATGCTTCCTTGGTGACTTAGCTCCTTCATAAGCTCGTCCGGGTTGACCACATTGAGCTGGACTTGGTGGATCTCTTGGAGTGAGGCTTTTAACTCGGACTAGGATTATAACATGATTTGGGCTTGGCCCATCATTTGCCCCCCAATGCCCTGCATCTAACGGAACTTGAAAAGGAGGGCATTCAGTTTGAGTTTGAATTTTTAGCTGATCGGCATAATGAAAAAATTTTGGGTGGCCAAAACCTGTACTTTTAGGCCTTTTTTGTGCTTTTAATGTAACGGAGCGAAAGTTACAATCAAGATAGTGAGTAGGGAGCTGGTTGCACGGTTTTGGGCGAGCAGGCAGCTTCATGGGCGAGCGGGCAGATGAAGCATTTTTTTTTCTTTTTTTAAAATTTTGGGAGCCCAAAACATCTGTTTCTGGGCCTTTTGTGGACTTTTTTTGAAAAGCTCATTGCCAACAGGAATGAGTTTTGTTCTGCTCATCGAGAGCTTCGATTTTGATATATAATAAGCCCTGTTTGGAGTAACGGTCAAAATAGCCCTTTTTAAATTCATTTTTTATTTTTTATTTTTTAGGAAAGTCCTTTTGGTTGGTGATTTCCTCTCTGGCATCTTATCTGTGGGGCTCCATTAGCTATATAAACTCCTTCTTTCATTCCCCCTTTTGCATTCTTAAAGATCCCTAGGTGGTAATTTGGGACTTTTGCCTCTTTAAAAACCCTAGGCAATAAATAGAAGCTTCCTTCTTCACTCTTGCCCATTTCCTTCAACTTTGAGAGAGGTTCCTTCTTGAAATTCCTTGGAAACCCAAGGCTTGATATTCTTGAGTTTGTGCACTGAGTCATCAATGTCGATTGTAGAGGAAGAGATACAAGCTTCCATTGTCATTGAGAAAAGAAGGGATGCAAGTACCCATTGATATCGAAGAAGGAGAAGCGGGCATTGAAGGCGGTGGACACCTTGGGCGAGTTCTAGGTGCCGTTGAGCATGGTGGAGATGGTTTGGGCGAGCTACCCTTTGCCCATGGTGGAGGTGAGTTGGGCGAGTTGCCCTTTGTTGGTGGAGGTGGTTTGGGCAAGCTAGCCTTTGCTCACCGTGGAGGTGATTTAGGCGAGCAGACCACAAGGGGCCAGGCATGTAGCTTTGACTACGCTGTCCACTCGATGAGTAAAATGGGCGAGTAGGGACGTGCGAAGCACAGCTTGGCGCAAGCAACCTGGGCGCTCGAACTGCCTGGGCACGCGGACAGCTGGGGCGTGCAGCCTGGGTGCATTGCTGGGGCACGCGAAGAGGAGGCGCAGGGCGAGCATGCCTTAGGCGTCCCCCTTTGGCTGCTAATTTTAGGAGTTCAAGCAAGTAGCCTGCTCGTGTTGGGGGCGCGGTGGTCTGGCATGATGAGGGTCAAACATCTCAGGCTGCTGAGTGGAGAGGAGATGGGCGCGCCAAAGGAGGTTTGGGTGAGCTTCCCTTGGTGACAGAGAAGACTGGGCACAGAGTTGCCGAGTTTGGTTCTAGGCAGAGTAGTGATGTCCCGGCTCGTTCAAGTGGAATTTCTCAAAATTTGACTTCTCAAGGCCTCTCTGGTAGGAGCTCAGGTAACTCTTTGTGTCCTTATAAAAAAAAGCACAAAAGCAAAGTAGTGGATGCTGGGTCCAAAGTAAATACCCTTTCTAGTTTGCTTAACACTGATGATGATATTCTGAGGATTGTTTCTGCTCATCACATTCCACCAACTATGCTGTGCCATCGAGCTGAGATGGGTGAGTTCGCCTCTGATGATTCCTCTGGTGACATTGCCATCTATGACGAGATGCTTGAGGCTATGCTCAGGTTCCCCATGTCTCATTCTAGTTGTCGCATTCTCCATTATTTTTCACTCACCCTGGGGTGATTATCACCCAATGGTTGGAGGGTTTTGCTGAGCTTTCTAGTGTTGTGGAGGAAGGTGCACCATGAAGATGCCTCTCCAGAGGAGTTTCACGGAGCTTATACTTTGAATGAGACCCCTGTTCCTAATCGAGGTTGGTATTATTTTAACACGAGAGACAACCTAATCACCGGGCTGCGGTCCAACTGCTATAGTTGGAAATCTCGCTTTATATTTGTCGACGGAGAGTGGGCTGCAGAGGCCGATAGGGCTTTGGTACCTAGAGGATGGGGTGCCTCTAAAAAACTTGGTATGCCTTACACTTGCTTTCTCTCATTTTCTTTTTTTATATTTTTGCATTTTTTTATCATTCCTCTTGTAGATCCTCTTGTGCTCTTCGAGGATCAAGAGTGGAAGCTGTAGGCGGTGAGGGCTTATCCTGAAAAAGACTTTGGAATCCTTATGTCCAAAGATGGTGGGACCAAAAGTGCTCTTGGAGTTCGTGCTACCCCAAAGTCTGACGGCTCCTCTTTGAAGAGGAAGGGTGAGTTGACTTTTTTTATACCTTCATCCCTTACTTGATGTTTTTCATCTAGGTAACACTTTATTTTCCTTGTGATAGTAGATAGGGAGGTGATTGGGTCCCGCCTTTTCAGTAGGAGTCCTCCTCCTTCCAAGGTGGCGAAGATGTCTAAGATGGTGAGGATGGGCGACATCTCCCAAGTGGCCTCTCCAACAGTGCCGTCCAAGGTGAGCTCTCCTCAGTCAACCCCTCTAGTGGTACCTCGGGCACACTCCCCTCAAGTGACCCCTCTAGTGGTACCTCCTCAGTCAGAGACTCCCTCAGTTACATCTCCTACTCCAGAATTCTGCTTGTTGGCCACACCTTCTACCCCCAGCTCATCCATTCCTTTCGTGGGGATTTCTGTTGGGACACCTTCTTAGATTAGCTCCATGTTGGGTAATGCGCGGGTCATCAGGGATCGACTTGGGAGGTTTGTGTTTCCTAATGATATAAATGAGATTAGTACCTTGGGCACTGAGGGAATCCTTAACTTTTTTTTGGAAGGCTGGGCTTAGGTAAGGGTTTGTTACCTCCCCTTTCTCCCATCTTTCCATAAGTGTCTGACTTTGCCTTTTGTTTTTCTTCAGGCCTCAATCGCATCTATGTGTTTAATTTCAAGGACCCTCCTTTATCACCAGCTGAAACACAATCATGAAGTTGTGAAAAATGAGCTTCTAGCTGCTCAGGGGAGGATCGCTAAGCTTGAAGCTACTAGCAGGGCTTTTGATGCTAACCTTGTGAGAGGGCGACTGGTCTTGAGACTGAGCTTTTGGTGACCCATGGGAGGGTGGCTAGGCTTGAGGCTGAGATTGCTGAGGTTTGTGAGAGGGCCATGCTCAGTGAGGTTGAGCTTTCGGCGACCCATGGGAGGGCGGCCAAGCTTGAGGCTGAGCTTGCGGAGGTCTGTGAGAGGGCCACGCTTAGTGAGGCTGAGTTTGCTGAGACCCGCGAGAGGGCCATGCTCAGAGAGGCTGCTACAGAGGCAGAGGTGAAGGCTACTTAGGAAAGAGTTTCTCGGGCTGAGGCGAACTTGGAGAACGGCCTTGCAGATGCTTTCATTGACAGTTATGAGGAGCTCTGGGGAAAGATTTATGTTGCTTTCCCTGATATTGATGTCTCAAGATTCTTGGCAACTGAGGCGCCTGATGACAGTGATGGAGGCTCTGACGATGCCCAGGGTGATCATGAGGATGACCATTAGAGTAGTTAGAGTGCTAGGGACTTTTGATTTTTTTTTTTAGGAAATCATTTTGTAGCCCTACTTTTGTAAAAGTGGTTTTTGCCACTGATACTCCTTTGAAGTTGAATACAAAAATGCAAAGATCTTTTGGTAGTAAGTCTAGAAAGTTTTATTCATTTCACTTCTTGTGTAAAGCAATATCGGGAAATAGCCCCACAAAAAAGTCCAAAAAATAAAACCAAGTCCCTAACTTTTCTACTTTGACTCTCTCAAGGTGTCATTGGTAGTATCTTTTCAAGTGCTTAGCATTCCATGGATGGGACAAAACCTTCCCCTCCGAACTCTGTATCTTATAGGTGCCCGACCTCACCACTTCTGTTATGAGGTAGGATACTTCCCAGCTTGGTCCCATCTTTCCTTCTCGTGAATCCTTTGTGGCGAGGATCACTTTCTTGAGGATCCAGTCTCCTAGTTAAAAGAAATGAGGCTTCACCCTTGAGTTATAGTACTTTTCCATGCGACACTTGTACTTCGTGTTGCGGACCACAACCATCTCCCTTGTCTCCTCTACTAAGTCGAGGTTGATGCGGAGTCTTTCCTCATTGGTGATGGGGTCGTGGTGTTGGACCCTTAGAGAATGCACCCCGATCTTCACAAGGATGGCTGCCTCAGTTCCAAAGACGAGGGAGAAGGGGGTTTC